GAGAGAGAGAGAGAGAGAGAGAGAGAGAGAGAGAGAGAGAGAGAGAGAATTACAGAGCACATAAGAATAATATACAGTACGAAAATACCGAAATTTCATTTGTTTAAGCGGTAATTGTTCGTACGTGCTCATAACTGGAAAAATACCAGACATACGAAAATATTATTATTGGTTTGTTCACGTCGCATATCGCAAATAGTACACTCAAGAAGGTCAAATGACGTATACTAATGACGTGTTACTCATTTCTTGAAATAAAAATGTATTAGCTGATAAAAAAACATAAACATAAAAAATAAAAATTGAAATTGAATTATAAACAGCTCAAATAAATTAACAAATTAAAATTAACAATAAACCTCCCAGGTCAAGAATAAATTGAGCTAATAATGGTTGTTAAATATATCTATAAATTTATTATAATGATAACATTAATATACGGTACGTTTCGACTTCACAGAGTCCTCATCAGCCGTAAAAAAAACCCCTTAACAGATGAAACCAATTTCCTCTTAAGACATCCGAAATTACTACGACCACACTATATGTCCTAACTGTGCAGATGGTCACACGTTAGTGACAAATAAACATTTATATAAACTGATTATAAAAAATAAACATTTATATAAGCTGATTTTTTATAAACATTTATATTAGCTGATATCTTTTCCAAATATTTATTGTAATAGAAATTAGAAGCATTTATTCAGACAGTACTGATTATAATAAAAATCAGAACCGTCTGTTCAGACAGTAATAATTTTCGCAAAGATAGATGAATAAACGTCATTGGCGTGCCGGAATTGGAAACCGCTTGGTAAGCGCCCCGCGTCCCGCACATCGCCGCGAGCCTCTAAACGTCATTACTCGAAAGCGTGGTGGCCGGTGCACAGTGGGACAGACGACCCGAAATCTTGGCCAAAAACGAAGTACGGAATTTAAAGAAATGAAACTATTTATCGTTTAGTAAACACTTAAGAGTACTTAAAAACTGATTCTTATATGTGTATTCATTGATTAATACCATTACTCGATATAGTAAACTTAGAAAATCACATGAAATCAATAATGGAGAGTATAATGCATTTACTAATGAATTTTTGAATAATTTCGTAATAATGCAGTTTTTTTTCGTATTCTTTCATTAATATATATTGAAAGATTATAAAATATGTAAAATAGCTATTAAGAAAATATGTACGTTTAATATATTTGTTACAATTTATTCAACCGTAAATTGATATTTTTCATATGTACGCGTTGTCGATTCTCTCCACACCTAAACTTCACATCCAAATGAAACAAATAAGGTACCATTTTGTTTGGTAAAATGTGTAGTTTGAACTTGACCTGCTCAATTTTGCTCGTTTTCATTTCTTTCAAAAAAATCTTACTACAAGTATATCTTGAGCATACCGTTATTTCTAGCTGTATGGAGATATTTAATGTACTAATCCACCTAATAACGTTAATGGAAGAAATTTGAAAAAAGTGGATTAATTCTTGAATTCCGTAAAACGCATGATGCGCATGATGTATCATTTTATTCTTATTATTCAGCAAATATTAAACAAGGATAAAACGATACATTATGCGCATTATGCGTTTTACGGAACGCATGAAAATGATGAGTTTGATCTTTCTAAGACTTTAAATTATTTGGATGATATAGATCTTTCAAATGACGAATGAATGGTACTGTAGTTAACTTTAATACAGTAATATTCTAGCATTCCGAATTGTGAGAGGCGAGGGAGGGGACTCTATAAACTATAGCATCCTAATATCTACCCTCAATAATCTATAATCCTTTCATTTTTTAGGCAAGAGTTCCTATAATATATGAAGTCTGTAAGGCTGTTCAGAAGTATCACCCAGGTTTCCCCGAATATCATTTTATCCTTATTATTTAAAAATAATAATTAATACGAGGTGAAGGACAATGAGAGTCAATTCGTAAGTAAACAAGAAAGCGATTATAACATAAAAATTATAATATGAATTTTCAAAGAAAAAGAATACAATAAAAATACTTAGCCGCTTTAGACACAATTAAAAATTAGAATATCGGTCAATATATACTAGTATAAAAAATCGCTCGATGTAAAATGTCGTAACAAGTTTCGACTCTTCAGACGTTCAACAAACATTCCTTAATCCAATATAATTGAGACAACACATTTCTCACTGACTCCTCGATTTCCCTCTTCGTTACACAACATTGACAATACAAGATGGCAAAGTCGTATTGAAACAATGTGTATGGGCATGTGCCTCTATGCGCTATGTGTAGCGCTATTTTCTCTTTTGAAACGCCTTGTGGCTCACGTAATAATTGGTTATGCTTGGTGCAATTTGTAATAATGCTCGAAGGACCAGTGTTGACAAATAAACAACACGTAAAATTGATTGATCTTGCTATATTTGGTTAGCTTACAACAAAAATGCACTGTGTGCTGTGATCTGGTGAAAACTTAAACGATTATGGATAAGCGTAAAGGAAAAATCATGCTGCTGCATGTTTGAACGAAAACGAACTAGAAAGAAGAAAACGGAAGTGGCGCACGAGTAGATACGGAAACGAACGAACACAAACGAACGCAGAAACGAGCGCTGATGAGCGAACGCTGAGGAGAAGGGGAACGCAGGTAGCGCTCCTTTCAGAAGGAGGGAGCGTAGCAGAGCGAGCGAAAATACAAAAATGAAAACGTGCATAGCGCGTACACAATGTATCTGTAACTTGGCATGAGAACAAAATCAAAAGAAGTGAAAATATTGTGTCTAAAGCGGTTAAGTATTTTTTTTCTTTGAAAATTTATATTATAATTTTTATGTTATAATCGCTTTCTTGTTTACTTACGAATTGACTCTCATTGTCCTTCACCTCGTATTAATTATTATTTTCATATAAAGAGTCCTTCAACTTTAATTTTATTTCCTTAATATTTATTCAATGTTAAACGAGGATAGGACGATACACGGGGGGGGGGGGGGG